TCTCAGCAAACTTAAAAAAAAAAAAAAATTGAAATCATACTATGCATCTTCTTTGACCACAATGGAATGAAGATGGAAATCAATAACTCAAGAATCTCTAGATCATATGCAAACACATGGAGACTGAACAACTTTTGTTCCTGATTGAAGAGTGGGTCATAGAAGAAATCAAAAGAGAAATTAAAAATTTCTGGAAATGAATGAAGACAACAATCCACATATCAAAATTTATGGGATATAGCAAAAGCAGTGTTAAATGGGAAGTTTAATAGCAGTTGGTGCCTACATCAAGCAATTGGAAAGGCACCAAATAAATGATGTATTAATGCATCTCAAGGACGAAGAGAAACAACAAACCAAATCCAAAATTAGTAGGATAAAGGAAATAACTAAAATTAGAAAAAAAAATAAACAAAATTGAATCCAAGAAAACAATACAAAAGATCAGTGAAATGAAGAGCTGATTTTTTGAAAAAACAAACAAAATTGATACACTAATGGCCCAAATAAGAAAAAAAAAGAGGGAAAACCCAAATCAATAAAAATCAGAGATGAAAAGGTAAACGTAAAAAAAGATACCACAGAAATGAAAAGAATCATCAAGAATTACTACAAAGAGCTATATTTGTGAGCAAACTGGGAAACCTGGAAGAAATGGATAGATTCCTAGATACATACAACCTACCTAAATTGAGTTTTGAAGACACAGAAAACCTAAATAGATGAATTACCAAGACAGAAATTCAATCAGTAATTAAGACCCTACCAACAAAGAAAAGCCCAAGATCAGATGGCTTCACTGCTGAATTCTACCAGACATTTAAAGAACTAACTCCAATTCTTCTCAAGCTACTCAAAACAATTAAAAGGGAGGGAATCCTCGCAAACTCCTTCTATGAATCCAGCACCACCTTAATTCCTAAACCTGAAAATGATGCAACAGAGAAAATATTGCAGACCAGTTTCCCTGATGAGCATAGATGCAAACATGCTAAAAAAATTAGCTAATCAAACCCAACAGCACATGAGAAAGATCATTCACTCAGACTAAGTAGAATTTATCTCTGATATGCAGGGATGGCTCAACATTCACAAATCAATCAGATACATCACATTAAGAAATTAAAGAACAAAAACCATATGGTTATCACAATAGATGCAGAGAAACCATTTGATAAAATACAATATTCTTTAACTCTTAAGCAAATCAGATATAGAAGGAACACTCCTCAGTACAGTCAAGGTGATTTATGACAAACCCATAGCCAGCATCTTATTGAATGGGGAAAAACGGGAAGCATTCCCCCTAAAATCAAAGCCAGACAAAAAAGCCCATTCTCACTATTGCTATTCAAATGTAGTCCTGGAAGTTTTAGTCAGAGCTTTAGGCAAGAAAAAGAAATCAAAGGCATACAAATTAGAAAGGAGGAAATCAAACTATCCCTATTTGCAAATGACATAATTCTGTACATAGGGCACTGAAAATACTCCACTGAGAGTATTGGAACTCATAAAAGTGTTTGGTAAAGTGGCAGGATATAAAATCAACACAGAAAAATCAACAGCTTTTGTATACACAGACAATGTCATAACAGACAGAATTTTTTTTTAAGGGTAAGGGCTTATTGGGGGAAACCGGACAGACCGGAGGAAAGGGGTGAAGAAGGAAAAGAGGGAGAAGGAGAGCATAATAAAGAGATTGAAAGAGAGAGAGACAGGCCGGCGCCGCGGCTCACTAGGCTAATCCTCCGCCTTGCGGCGCCGGCACACCGGGTTCTAGTCCCGGTCGGGGCGCCAGATTCTGTCCCGGTTGCCCCTCTTCCAGGCCAGCTCTCTGCTGTGGCCCAGGAGTGCAGTGGAGGATGGCCCAGGTGCTTGGGTCCTGCACCCCATGGGAGACCAGGAAAAGCACCTGGCTCCTGGCTCCTGCCATCGGATCAGCGCGGTGCGCCGGCCGCAGCGCGCTGGCCGCGGCGGCCATTGGAGGGTGAACCAATGGCAAAGGAAGACCTTTCTCTCTGTCTCTCTCTCTCTCACTGTCCACTCTGCCTGTCAAAAAAAAAAAAAAAAAAAAAAAAGAGAGAGAGACAGAGACACTGAGAGAAAAGAGTCAGAGAGAAGGAGAGACAGAGAGAGGGAGAGAGATCTGGAGAGAGGAAGAGACAGAACTTTTAAGATAAATTTCATCCACAATAGCTCCAAAAAGAATTAAATACCTTGGAATAAATTTAACCAAGGATGTCGATGAAAGCTACAAAACACTCAAGAAAGAAATAGAAGAAAATATTAAAAATGGAAAAATATTCCATATTCATGGATTGGAACAATCTATATCATCAAAATGTCCATACTATCAAAGTAATTTACAGATTCAATGCTATCCCACCCCTTGAAATTTACATAAGAGAAATAAAATCAGCATATGAAAGAGTTGGAGCATGGGAAGGAGGGAGTGTCCCTATGTTCCTAAATCTGTATATATAAAATGCATGAAACTTGTATAACTTAAGTAGAATTTTTAAAAAAGAAAGAAAAAAAAGCAGACAGTCAACTCACCAACCCAACCAGTCACATGAATGAGAATGATAGGTCTACTTCATTTACCCAGTCTTCTGCTTGTGGTGAGGACACTATCCAATTTATCTAATTATTTTCTAACTCCAACAGTTGGAAGAATTTAAGAGACTGTCACCCAAAAGCATTGATCTTAGTACAGCGACTCAGACTCCCGTGAATCTAGTTTGCAGTTCTTCCTCCCATGGAGAGGAATGAGTATAAAAGTGAGCAAAGACAAGGGTCAGAGGGGCTCACTTCCAAGTTTCTCTGAAGCAGGAATGAGGTATGTGGTGTACAACTCTCTTGCCTATGAACAAAGGCAGAAACAAGTGAGAAGGGAAAATGCTATCTTACAGCAGATATCAATCCAAGTATTTCAATAAGAACACTGGTAAAGGAAGAATGTCTCGTATGAGTTGATTCTTAGGCTAACTTTAAATATCAAGGAAATAGAATTATTGGGTAGTAGTATATTTACAGTAAAAACAAGGTCAGCAGAAATGCATTTCTGAGAAATTTATGTATGATAGAAAAATAAAAAAAGATATACAGATGTCCATTGCAATTTTTTCTTGAATGTTATGAAGGATGGTTTCCACATTCCAACTCATGAGCTGGTAGAAACTTCCCAAATCATGAGAAGCTGCTCTGTATTTTTTTCCTGAGTTCTGAATCCCAAATTCTAAAAAAGAGAGAGCTGGTGATAAATTCTTGTTAAATCAGGTCATATTGACTAATCTTAATTCTAATAAAGATCTAGCATGGTGAATAACACATAATGGACACTCAATAAATGTTTCTGGAATTAATTAGAGAAAGACATGAATAGTAGTATGCAAAAGCTAATTGGAGGTGATTGTGGTTCTAATTGCTAAATAGTTAGGAGTTGAGAGTTTTCTATTCCCAATGATCATATTAATACATTATGAAAAACAACAAACACTATGAAGTGAAGGCATTTCTTACAGGAAACTACTGCAACTTATATTCCTCTCTAACCTTTGCACCTTAGGAACTTCTGAATTCCTGGTAGTTTTCAATATAGATTTAACCTCTATACAGACAATGCCTTCTCTGTTCACCTGGCAGAATTCAGAATATGTCTGGATATAGTAAGAGATTTTTATGTAGACTTAGTGATATATGTGTGTATACACATTTTTTCCTCTCCAATTATGAGTACTTGACCATGTAGACTTAAGCAAAATCTAGAGCTTAAAAATTAGCAATGATTGGGGCTGCACTGTGGCGTAGCAGGTAAAACCACCACCTGCAATGCCAGCATCCTATATGGGCACCAGTTCAAGTCCTGGTTTCTCTGCATCTGATCCAGCTCTTTGCTACAGTCTGGAAAAGCAGTAGAAAATGGCCCAAGTCCTTGGGCCCAAGTCCTTGGGAGACCTGGAAGAAGCTCCTGGCCTTGGATCAGCCCAGCTCTGGCCTTTGCCGACATTTGGATGGTAACCCAGAGTATAGAAGACTTCTCTCCCTCTCTCTCTGCTTCCGCCTCTCTCTAACTCTGCCTTTCAAATAAATAAATAATCTTTAAAAAATAGCAGTGATTGAGGTAAATCAAAGCAAAACCTAAAGAAACTCTGGCAAACAAAAAACTGATGATATCGCAGATGCACATAAAGATTCACTGCATGCTGTAGAAAACAATGAAGCTGCTCTATCCCATGCAGTAGCATTCTCAGGGGCTCTTATCCTTGAACAGAGGAACAAAATTTAATTCTTCGAACACTTCTACCCACATTTCAAACCCAAGGTCCAAATACATCAAACACTGACACAAGTATACCAATGACTCTTACAAAATATCACCCTGAGTAGATTCTATCTGCAAAAAAAGAAAAAAAGAAGAAAGAACGAAAAAACTTAGTAAGTGCTTTGTCCCCAATGTCCAATATTTCAAAAGCATTATTCATGCCTCTCGTATTTATTTCAAAAGAATCTTTCTCTCAAGTCTGAAAAAATGCAGTTAACTACATTGATTTTGAAAAGCCAATTAGTTTCAAATACCTATTAATTGTTATTGCCTTCTTGATGTTTAAAAGTCCTTATTCTTAAAAAAAAAAAAAGCCCAATGTTGGTAATTTTGTGAGCATTGAAAATTAGCACAATTTCTCAAAACTAAGATTTTCATTGATAGCAACTGTTATTATATTCAAGTATATAGTAATAGAAGCAAATAACTCTATTCAATCTCCAATTGTATGATGTCATACAAAATATGATCCTTAATTTACCATTCCTCAAGGGTCAAACACCAAGTCACCTGGAGAATCCACTGTGGTTCCTTCTATGAACTCAAGCTAGAGCAATCCCTGGTAACCGAGTCCAGGATGAGTACATGAGTCTATAAGACACAGTTGATCCAAGATGTGAAGCAGTTCTAGAGTCTTCTTCACCCCTTCCCTCTTCATTCTCTATGTGCCCCCTAGGTGTGAAGGTGAGCTTCAGGAACCCTTACTCACATGAGCCACTTTCAAAGCCTGGAAACGTCCCAGGGATGGTGAGTTTCATTTGTCAACATGCGTAGACTGCCATCACCAGAAATTGAATTAAACACCAATCTAAGTGTTTCTGTAATAGTATTTTGTGGGTGTGATTAAAGCCTATAATAAGTTGACTTTAAGTAAGGGAGATTTTCCTAGACAGTATCTAGAAGTCTGACTCAATCATTTGAGAGATCTTAAGAGGAGAGCTGAGGCGTCCCTAATGAAAATGAAATCCTGTGGACAGCAGACTTTTCCATACCTAATATTCCATCCTGCCACAGTTGTGTAAAGTAATTTCTTTCAATAAACCTTTTAATCTGTATTCTCTACTGGTTCTGTTTTTTTTTTTTTTAAGATTTATTTATTTATTTGAAAGTGAGAGTCACACAGAGAGAAGAAGAGAAGCAGAGAGAGGTCTTCCAACCACTGGTTCACTCCCCAATTGGCTGAAACAGCTAGAACTGCACCAATCAAAGCCAGGATCCAGGAGCTTCTTCTGGGTCTCCCACATGGGTGCAGGGGCCCAAGGACTTGGGTCATCTTCTACTACTTTCCCAGGCCATGGCAGAGAGCTGGATCAGAAGTGGAGCAGGCAGGACTGGAACCAGCGCCCATATGGAATGCCAGCACTGCAGGAGACAGCTTTACACACTGCGCCACAGCACTAGCCCCATCTACTGGTTCTGTTTTTCAGGCTGACCCCTGAATGGTAAAGGTCCTAACAATGTATGCATCTGCTTTTATTTAATTCATGAAAGTTGGATATTTTCATTTCAGTGAATCAAGATAGCTACTTCTTTCCATGCTGACTTGCCCCCGCTCACACTAGGGCTGTGGCACTGTGGTAGCTACATACATTTTGGGGATTTTTTCAAAATGTAAGTTGAAGATACATTTAGTTTGAGTTTGTGGAGTATATGTGTCACTTACAGTCACTTCCATGAATAGTTATTTCTAGCTACAACTCTCAGAATTATTCCTACTACCACTGTGAAAGCACAGAGAGGTCATTTTTTTTTTTTTTTTGACAGGTAGAGTTTACAGACAGAGAGAGAGACAGAGAGAAAGGTCTTCCTTCCATTGGTTCACTCTCCAAATGGCCACAACAGCCCGAGCTGCACTGATCCAAAGCTGCACCAATCCGAAGCCAGGAGCCAGGAGTTTCTTCCTGTTCTTGGATGCGGGTGCAGGGGCCCAAGCACCTGCGCCATCCTCCACTGCTATCCCAGGCCACAGCAGAGAACTGGACTGGAAGAGGAGCAACCAGGACTAGAACTCATCATCCATATGGAATGCTGGCGCATGGCACCAGCCTCACAGAGAGGTCATTTTAAGGCATGGATATGTTTCCAATGTCTGGGACCAGATCACGGGTGGAGGATATTTTGAAAGATTGTAAAATATGCAGCTGGAGTGGACCAATGGAAAATTCTCCCAACAGTCAGACACGTAAGCTTGGTGAAATCTCATCAACATCTTATGGGATGGAGACTCTCTTTTGGTAAGAATATATTCAGGGGTGGCATTGTGGCACAGCTGGTTAAGCCACAACTTGGAAGACTCACATCCTATATTGAAGTGCTGATTTGAGTCCTACCTACCCCTCTTCTTATCCATCTTCTTGTTAACGTACCCTGAGAGGCAACACATGATATCTCAAGAACCTGGGTCCTTGCCACCCAGGTAGGAGACCTTGTTGGAGTTTTGAGCTCATGGCTTCAGCCTGGCCTAACCCTGGCTATTGTGGGCATTTTGGGGAGTGAATGGGTAGATGGAAATTCTCTCTTTTTCTTTCTCTCTCTCTATCCCTTTTAAATATATTAAAAATAAACATTTTAAAAATGTTATTCACTAACATATTTTATATACAATCACGAATACCCAATACAGTTTCTTTTTCTTTTTGGATGAAATTATTTTAAAAGAACTTACAGAATCTCTGTAATTATAAAGTATAACCTTGCAGAACACTATTGCCTAAAGTTATATATGTTGTGATTCTTAACAGTCAGTAATAAAAAAATTAATCATTCCCGAGGAAATGCCAAATTATCTTTCTTATCGCTATACTAAATATTTCATATGAAGTAATCACATAGTCAAAAATGTGGGCAAGAAAGCATTTGAGAAGTGTCAGGTAATTAATAACAATGTTAATTTTCTTGATTTTGTGACACTTATTTTACTTACCACCTTTTTAAAATTTGCAAATTGTGATTTTTCATTTTAGATAATTATTTCCTTTCATAAATATATAATTCTACATTATAACTTTGTATTCTCTTCCTGTTAAAGGTGCTGAAAATCATTTAATCTTAAGTTTTCAAAATATTAAGATCTTCCCAAAATGCCTGTGTGTATTTACGAGTGTATACGTATGTATGAGTGTTTATGTGTGTATGTGTGTTTGTTGGAGTCTCTCAGCATTGCCCTTGCTTCATTACACTACCCAGAGCTGACTGACACTATAACCCTTCTGCGAGTTAGCCATTGTATTAGGCACATGGGACAGAGAAAGTAAAGCCTTCCCTGAGCAAAGAAACTTTACTTTTGTGTAGCATTTACTAAGCTTCAGTCTCTGATTCAGGCAATGTTTGTATGCCAAAGAATTTAATTTACCATATACCCAGCACTCTGGAGATTAAAATCAGAAACAACATCAAAATGGTAAGTTTTTCAATTGTATCTATCTCCTCTGATCATTTGAACTCTTAGAATTTTTTGTTGTTTGCTGTGTGCTGTCTATAAAAATCAGCTTTCCGTTTTGAAGCTTGTGAGTTTTGCACTTTTCTTCACTCTGTGGCATGCATAGTGCCTAGGCAGAGATGGCTGGGAACCTGATTTCCTAACCCTGCACGTGACCATGTGATCAGTCCTCACCAGAGAGATGTGAGCGAAGACTCCCACTTTGGGGGCAACGTTTTTTAGAAGCACGTGTGCTTTCTCTTTCTGTTGCCCATACAACTTCTCTACAGATCTCCAGACCCTGCTCACCGACACTCTTATAACCTCCATGCCTTTCCCTTATAGAAATTCTGGCACTACAGAAGCCAAAAGTCAAGCTACAAAATTTTGCTCCATAGAGATAACTGAAGGCTTGACGGAAAGGCTCCTTTGAGACAGGATGAGAGGCCTTAGATGTGTATGAGATTAGTGTTCAGAGCCAAGGAGAAAGGGTCAGATAGATGACAGCAAGGGTGTGGATAGTTAGAAGACATGAATATAATGCTGTCTGAATTATTTTGGAAAAAAATTACTAATGAGAGCAATCAGGCTTGTATGACATTTGTTGCTTAGGTCTTATGAAGAATCTAGAAACTGGATCTTGTATCAATCACTTGATGTTTCTAAAGACACAAAGCCAAAACTCTGTATTTATAGACATTGCCAAGTGACATACTCAAACTTCACTTTGGTGCTTCTACCTCTCCAGAGTGAGCATTGTAAGACACTCTGGTCCTGGTTTATCTCCCCTGACTCTCCAGAACACTCATCCTCTCCAAATGCTATCCTATATTTCCACAGATCAGCTTTGGGCAAAGTATTGAGAAAGGAAGGAAGAGAACTTGCTCTAGCTGTAATACAGGGGGGTCACAAGTTCATATTCCATTTATACCTACACTAATTCTGCTTGTTTCCTTTACATTAGATGTTCCAAGATAATGAATACTTCCATAGCAACAAAAGTCTGACGATAAACTGTTACCTTGATTTTCACATGTTCAAAGAAAAATCCCTCAATGGCAACCAAACCAGAAGTCTCAGCACTGAATATGCAATAATGGCTACAAGGGAACCATGTATCTATTTAATTTTCTTAACAACACTGTTGATTATTCTCTTGGAAAGGAATTCAGACTGGATTAGATGCTCTTATTTTTCAGTTGTGTAGCTTGTCTTCTGCAATTAAAATGTGAAGCTGCTTTTGAAACAATGCAGGTAATGAGTGACTTTGGTGGAGATCTATTCTGACACAAATGATCCATAAATGCAATTTGATTTTAAAACTACCATCCTTTAAGTCTCTTTGGCTGCAATTGTCAAAGTATTCTGAAAGAAGAAAGCATGTGCATAACTAGAAAAGACATTATAAAATATTTCAGGTATAGTAAATGCTCTACAGACTAATTTAAAGGACTCCTGTTGCACCTATTTTTTCCTTTTAACCACTCACCTTTCTGCTCTGCACAACATACTTAGGAGCAACCTTCTTTATACTGTGGAAAACAAGAAAACACTTGACAATAAGTTAAAACTAAGGAAGGATTACTCCTATCAGCCCCCAGTGATCTACAGTCATGCAGATGGAACTTCAGTCCTGGCAGTTTGGGGGTTTAAGATAATCAGTGTTCAGGATCCATGTCTTTGTAAGAGTGTAACTAGTTGCTTGGTGTTCAAGGGCTGAAAAGTCAGAACTTCAGTGTGCTCAGAACAAGTCCTAATGGATGGTTCCTTAAATACTGACACTAAACATTTTCACACTGCTTGGACTGGGTATAACCTTAAAATGAATATTTATTTCATTTTTCTGGAATTTGTGATTGTGGCTTTTGGGGACAGTAAAGAACAATCCCATCTCCCCTAATGCAACAGATGCAGGAACCATCAAAGATCAAAGTGCAAGTTGTATAATTGAAGAAAGTTAGAATGGAGTATGTGGCTAACTTATTCCACTTCAGTGGATCTTGTAACATATCCCACTGGTATTAAATTTACCCATAGGCAATGAGGGATGCCTCTCCTGCAATGATGTTTATTCATTTACTCAATAAATAGTTATCAAGGAACTAGCACTGTGGTGTAGTGGGTAAAGCCGACACCTGTGGTGCTGGCATCCCATACGGTATGTTCAAGTCCCAGATGTTCCACTTTCGATCTGGCTCTCTGCTATGGCATGGGAGTCCTTGGGCCCCTGCACCCACGTGGGAGTCCCAGAGGACACTCCTGGCTCCTGGCTTCAGATAAGTGCAGCTCCAGCCATTGGGGCCAATTGGGGCCTCTCCTCTCTCTGTGTAACTCAGGCTTTCAAGTAAAATAAACAAATCATTTAAAAAGTAAATAAGTAGTTATCAACTGTCAACTGTGAGCTAGATACTGCTTTACACACTAAGGATTCAACAGTGTACAAATCAAAGTCACTGCACTCAGAGTTTACATTCTACTTGGTAAGGAGGTAGAAATAATAACTTTATGAGATGGGAGATAGAAGCATTAGCTTTCATTAAAACTCATTGGAGGATTTAGAGCAGATGAAAGACATAAATTGATTTACCCCTAGGAAAGCTTACTCTGGCTGCTTACAGAATTCCTTAAGCTAAAGCAAGGAATCAAGTAAAGCAATAGACCAGGTGAGAGAGAATGATCATCTGGACATGTAGCAACAATAGATATGGAAAGAAGGGATTATATTAAGGACATGTGGTAGTTCCCATCTGTTCTTCTTATACTAAAGTCTTTTTTTAAAAGATTTATTTTATTTATTTGAAAGACAGAGTTACAGAGAGAGATAGAAACAGAGGTCTTCCATCCATGGGTTCACTGCTGAAATGGCAGCAATGGTCAGAACTGAGCCAATTGGAAGCCAGGAGCCAGGAGCTTCTTCTGGATCTCCCACATGAGTGTAGGGGCCCAAGGACTTTGGCCATCCTCTGCTGCATTCCCAGGGGCACTAGCAGGAAACTGGACTGGAAGTGGAGCAGCCAAGATTCAAACTGGCGCCCATATGGGATGCCGGTGCTGCAGGTCAGGGCCTTAACCCACTGTACCACAGCGCTGGCCCCTATCCTAAAGTCTTTACTCTGAGAGTCAAGGAACTGGTATTCTGCCAGTTTCTGAGTAAGTTTATTCCAATTATACATTCCATTTTGGAGGAATAACCATTGAGGGGTCTAGTGATCCACAAGACATACTTTGAATAAAAAGACTGAGCTAAAATTCTAATGATCACCTAACCTTCATAAACCTACCCCCCTTTTTAAATATCTGTTTATTTATTTGAAAGACAGAGTTACAGAGAGCAATAGAGACACAGAGAGAGAGAGAGAGAGAGAGGTCTTCCATCCACTGGTTCATTCCCCAAATGTCCACAATGGCCAGAGCTGAGCCAATCGAAGCCTCCAGGAGCTAGGAGCTTCCTCTGAGTCTTCCACAGGGTGCAGGGGATCAAGGACTTTGTCCATCCTCAGCTGATTTCCCAGGTATATCAACAGAGAGCTGGATAGGAAGTGGAGCAGCCAGGACTCAAACCAGCACCCATATGGGATGCCAGCACTTTAACCCACTGCACCACAGTGCCAGCCCCCCATAAACCCCTTTTTTGAATTGTGAACCACCTTGATGTTCTGGGTCTTTAGAAATTAATGAATTTGGGGCCGGCGCCATGGCTCGCTTGGCTAATCCTCTGCCTGCAGCGCTGGCATCCCATATGGGCGCCAGTTCCAGTCCCAGCTGCTCCTCTTCCAGTCCAGCTCTTTGCTGTGGCCCGGGAGGGCAGTGGAGGATGGCCCAAGTGCTTGGGCCCCTGTACCCACGTGGGAGATCAGGAGGAAGCATCTGGTTCCTGGCACAGTGACAGCCGTAGCAGCCATTTGGGGGGTGAACCAACGGAAGGAAGGAAGGCCTTTCTCTCTGTCTATCTCACTGCCTATAATTCTACCTGTCAAATAAATTTTTTAAAAATTTAAAAAAAAAGAAATTAATGAATTTATTTATCAAGGAACTTGTTACAGTAATGTATCATACACAATTGAGAGGACCATATAAGCAGTCTCTCTCAGTTTTTTCACGTCTGATGCTTCAGTTTGAATGCCACAGTGCAGGCATTTGGGGCAGGAGGATGGATGTAAGCTGAGGGATAAACAAGATTAAACTGAAATCTACAAACACAGCTGAAGCCAATCAGGACATACCAACACTTTTTTCAGAAACATTTTTCACTGAGATTTATTCATTATACCTTCAAGGGAATTTCATAAGATGTGTAGAAAATGGAATTAAAAGATAAATTTATTTTTTATTCAGAAACATTTGAAATCAGTGCCTAATATGAATTTGCCACGAACTTGTTATGGATCACTCATATTTACAGGGTACAGAGTGATATATCTATACATGTTAATAATGCATAATGTTCAGATCAGGGTAACTGGTATATCCATCACTTTAAATACTTATCATTTTCTCTGTCAAAAACATTCAAAGTCCTCTGTACTGGTTACTTTGAAATAATTACTATGCTATAGAATATGGAATTTATTCCTCCTATCCATCTGCATACCTATACCCATTAACCGTCTTCTTCATTCCCCCAACTTCCACCCTTCCAAGCTTCTGGTAACCAATATTCTACTTGTTAGTGCTCTGAGGTCAGCTTTTTTAGTTTCAACAAATGATAGCTCTTCAAAAAGTTCATGGAAAATGCATAAAGAACTAGGCATGTATTTAAAAGATTTTTGCACCAAAACAAACATTTTATAACTCCATTTTCTACAAACATTTTGATGTTCCCAAATATAAAACATATTTCTTTCTGTATCTGACATTTCTTTTTTCCCCTCAAAGAAACCTTTTATTTAAAGAATAAAAACTTCATGCATTTGAAATGTATAACTTAAGGAATATAGTGATTCTTCCCACCATACCCACCCTCCCACCCACTCTCCCACCCATCCTCCTCCTCCCTCTCCCATTCCCACTCCCATTTTCCACTATTTCCATTTTCTTTTTTTCTCTCTTTTTTTTTTTTTTTTTGACAGGCAGAGTGGATAGTGAGAGAGAGAGAGACAGAGAGAAAGGTCTTCCTTTTTGCTGTTGGTTCACCCTCCAATGGCCGCTGCTGCCGGCACATCACGCTGATCCGAAGCCAGGATCCAGGTGCTTCTCCTGGTCTCCCATGTGGGTGCAGGGCCCAAGGACCTGGGCCATCCTCCACTGCACTCCCAGGCCATAGCAGAGAGCTGGCCTGGAAGAGGGGCAACCGGGACAGAATCCGGCGCCCCGACCGGGACTAGAACCCATGTGCTGGTGCCGCAAGGCGGAGGATTAGCCTATTGAGCCACGGCGCCTGCCTCACTATTTCCATTTTCAATTAACTTTATACACAGAGGACCAACTCTATACTAAGTAAAGAGTTTAACAATTTGCACGGAAAAAAATAAAAACTGTTCCTTGACAGTACCTGACTTATGTTACTTAATAATCCCTCCAATTCCATCCATGTTGACATAAGTGACAGAAGTTAATTGTCTTTTATGGATGAATTAATATTTTATATATATATATGTATTATCCATTCATCCATTGATAGATACTAGTTAATTCCGTTTGTTGGGTATTTGTGAATACTACTACACTAAACATGAGAAGATATATCTATTCAACATATTGATTTCCTTTCCTTTGGATATATACCCACTAGCAGAATTGCAGGATCACATGGAAGTTCTCTTTAGTTTTTTGAAGAACTTCCATACTGTTTTCTGTAATGTCCATAGGAATTTATATGCCCAACAATAGTATAATGAGAGTTCCCCTTTATCCACGTCCTCACCTACATTTGTTCCTTTTTTGTCTTTTTGACAATAACCATTCTAAATGGGATGAGATGATATTTAATTTGCATTTCTCTGCCATGACCTTCTGACAGTTCTTGCTGCTCCTGCCTACAGTGATCGAGAGTTCAGAAGATGTGTTCTGAACACACCTGGACCATAACCTCCAAAGCTAAAGAAGATGCAGATAAGGCAGAGCAGTTGCAGGCCCAGCAACCATAAGATGATGAGATGCATGGACTACAAGATGTCTGCTTCTCCTCTTTGTTCTTACTAAAGTAGGTCCTTACCCTCTATGTGGATTCCCCTTCCTTTCTGCAGTGCTTTGGCCCAAATACTATGATATAGTATTCTACACAGCAGCAATTCATCATCACACAATACCACAACAAACCAAGGGATTCATTTCACAGCAAATGAAGTGTAGTGATTACCCATGCTTATGGATTACATGCTCTTCTTTAACAGGAAGCACTTGTCCTTTTAAAATGATGTATGGTTCACTTATATGAATATGTTGATATTGCTTTTGTACTAGATATTCCATTGAGAGTGGAATATTCACAGGAAAGAGGCAAAAATGTAGGGCAGGGAGACCAGTGTTGCAACGTAGCAGGTGAAAAGCCAGGGCTTGTGATGCCAGCATACCATATTGGAGCCCCAGCTCCAGGCCTGCTGTGCTGCTTCCAATCCAGTTCCCTGATAACTTGCCTGGGAAAGCAGCAGAAGATGGCCTAAGTGTTCGGGTCCCTTCCACCGACATGGGAGACCCAGATGGAGTTTCTGGCTCTTGGCTTCAGCCTGGCCCAGCCCTAGCCTTTGCAGCCATTTGGGTGAGTGAACCAGTAATAGAAGATTTTTTTTCTCTCCCTCTGTCATTCTGTCTTTCAAATAAATAAGTAGATAAGTAAATAAATCTTTCAAGTGCCAATTTCATAATTTTTAAAAATGTGGGTCAGGGTCTAGTGCTGTGACACAGTGGGTTCAGCCACCTCCTGCAGCACCAGAATCCTATATGGGCACTGGTTCGAGTCCCAGCAGCTCCACTTCTGATCCAGCTCCCTGATGATGGCCTGGTGAAAGCAGCCGAAGATATCCCAAGTCCTTGAACTCCCACCACTCAAGTAGGAGATCAGGAAGAACCTCCTGGCTCCTGGCTTCAAACTGGCCCAGTTCTGGCCATTGTGACCATCTGAGGATGAACCAGTGGGTGGAAGCTCACTCTCTCTCTCTCTCTCTCTCTCTCTCCTTCTCTCTGTAACTGTACCTTTCAAATAAATAAATATTCTTTTAAAAAATGTGGAGCAGAATATGACATGAACCCTAACAAGCAACTGTGCGTACCTTCCTCAATCCATTTGCCTCATAGGATTTGCAAGATGGATGAGTGAACAGAAAGATGTGAAGAGAAGAGGAGCAGAGCCACCACCACGGACTGTGAGAAGGCAGCCACACGTCCAAGGCCCCAGAGCCACAGATAGAAGTAGACTCGGCCTCAGGTGATTCTGAAGCGGGCCGAGTCTACTTCTGAATTGTCAGACATTAACATGAGAGAGGACCATACTTCTATTTTGTTTAAACCACAGTTATTATTGGGTCTATTTCTACAGCCAAACTCATATCATAGCTGATACATATCCTGAGCATTTAATCTTGCTACGTGCATATCTCCTATTTAAAAAACAGTGGAGGGGGTGTTGTGTCGCCAGTTGGAACACCACATCCCATATTTGAATTCTTACTTTAAGCAGCTGCTATTCAGTGTTTCCAGTCCAGCTTTGTGCTGATAAAGCTGGAAGGCAGCAGATGGGGGTTCCTGCCCCCCATGTGGGAGACCTAGATTGAGTCCCTGGCCCGGCTTCAGCATCACCCCACCCTGGCTGTTGTGACCATTTGCAGAATGAAGCAGTGCGTGGTTTTCTCCCACTGCTCCCAGCTATTTCTTTCAAACAAATAATCTTTATAAAAATGTTTTAGATACTTATGGTTGTTACTCTACATGGATGTCCATAAACTCCCTAGTACTTCAACAAAATGAACCTACAAGCAAACCAACCATCTCTATTCAGTGGAGATTTTCACCTTTAATTTTGGCGCCTAAGCATTTGTACCCCATATTTTATCCTGTGAATGAATTTCAGAGGTTCAGACTTTTGCAAACTCTGTAAACTGAACTAAACATTGAAATTTGTGTTGAGGCCTGCTCTGTAGCATAGAGAGTTAAGCCGCCGTCTGCACCGCTGGCATTCCATATGGGCATGGGTCTGAGTTCTGGCTGCCCCACTTCTGATCCAGCTCCCTGCTAATGTGCCTGGGAAAGCAGAGAAGAGCCCAAGAACTTGGGTCCCTTCACACACATGGGAGGCCTGCATGAAGCTCCTGGCTCCTGGCTCCAGCCTGGCCCAGCTCTGGTCTTTGCTGCCATCTGTGGATTGAACTGGCAGATGAAAGATCTCTCTTTCTCTCTGTTTCTCTCTCCTTCTCTCTCTGTAACTCTGACTTTCAAATAAAAAGTAAATAAATTTTTTTTAAAATGTGTTTCAAATTCATAACTTAAAGATGTAATTTAATAAAGTCTAAATTAACTTTATATAATGTGGTAGATGCAAAAGTATGATATGTGTTTGTTAGATATTTAAGAGATACATTTTCCAGCTGTTAGCTATCAGGTAGTTAACACATTCCGATTTTATAAATGAGGCAACTCTAGAACATGTCTTTATTCCCTTTCTCTCTCTCTCTCTCTCTTTTTTTAAGACTTATTTATCTAGCTGAAAGGCAGAGTTATGCAGCCGGGCCAGGCTGAAGCCAGGAGCCTGGAGCTCCATTTGAGACTCCCAGGTGGGTGCAGGGCCATCTTCTGCTGCCTTTCCAGGCCATTAGCAGGAACTGGATTTGAATCAGAGCAGCATGAACTCAAACTGGTGCTCACATCAGGTGCCAGAGTCCCAGGACTCGGCTTAACCCAGTGTACTAGCACCATAACAGATCTTCCTCCTCTTAACTCAGTTTTTTTCTATATTATATTATGTTGACATTAAACTAATTTCAAATTTGTGCTATTTTTACTTTATAATCATTGATACCATATCTTTTTTTTTTCTCAGAAAACTTTTTTTTAAGGAATAAAAACTTCATGCAGGGGCCAGCACTGTGGTGTAGCGGGTAAAGCCACTACCTGCAGTGCCAGTATCCCATATGGATGCTGGTTCGAGTCCTGGCTGCTCCACTTCCAATCCAGCTCCCTGCTAGGGCCTGGGAAAGCAGTAGAAGATGGCCCAAGTCCTTGGGTCTCTACACCTATGTGGGAGACCAGGAAGAAGCTCCTGGCTCCTGGCTTTGGATTGGCGCAGCTCCGGTGGTTGGGGCTATTTGGGGAGTGAACCAGCGGATGGAAGACCACCCTTCCTCATTCTCTCCCTCCTTCCCTCTCTCTCTCTCTTCCTCTCCCTATCACCCTCCCTCCCCTCTCTCTTCTGCCCCTGCCTCTCTGTAACTCTTTCAAATAAAAAATAAATAAATATTTAAACAAAAATAAAATATCTTCATGCATTTCATAACTACAGCTTTAGGAACTTGGTGATTCTTCCTACCATACCTAGCCACCATATCTTTATGAATTGCAGTTACTTTCTATTTGAAGTTGTTTTCCTATTGTAATTATGCTGCAATTCACAACTTTGCCACTGGATGGCACCAAATTTTACATTTTCATTTCTCCTTCGCGCCTGTGTCTGATGTACAGCCTTAAATATTTAAATTGTAGGAGGTAGTCAAGAGCTAAATACTTTAATTGGGTAAAAACACACCCTAATCCCTAAGTCAATGCTGAAAACCAACATTCTTGCACCACATGTTTGTTACTAAAGAAACAAATTAAGTACATAAAAGGGCATTATAATTCCAAAGTGCTGATTCAAAATGAGTTGCATATAGCAACAAGAATGTTTAAGCTAAAGTTAGATTAATCCAAGGGAAAATTGTCTAAATACCAAGTCACAACATACTCTAAGAAACTCCAAGACAAAAACACAAAAAGTAATGTAAAAATGCTGCCATTACATGAATCCAAGTTGGAGGAAGCTGACAATAACCAGAGGCATGCATGGACAGTCCACCCTGAGAATTCATGACGAAGTTTCACGCCATCGGTGACTTTTCTCCTTCTGGCTGTTATCAGTGATGACATCTTTGGATTTTCATATTCAACTGGTTTTCTCTTGAAGGTAGTAAACCTTTAACATACAATTGTCCCTGACTCAGGCTTTCTCCTTCTCCTTCTCGCTCAAGGTAATTTATACATTCAATCCAAAATTGTACACAACCAGACAACTGGCTGTGTATAGTAACCAGTCTTCTCCCATAGTGCTTACCACACACACGTGCATGTGCACGCACGCACACACACACACAGTGCATAGGAGTAGGAGGAAAGCCAGAAGTTAGCACATGGAGTTGTTTTTTTTTTTTTTTTTTTTTTTTTTTTTTGACAGGCAGAGTAGACAGTGAGAGAGAGAGAGAGAGAGAGAGAGACAGAGAGAAAGGTCTTCCTTTTGCCATTGGTTCACCCTCCAATGGCTGCCGTGGCCAGCGCACCACGCTGATCCTAAGCCAGGAGCCAGGTGCTTTTCCTGGTCTCCCATGGGGTGCAGGGCCCAAGCACCTGGGCCATCCTCCACTGCACTCCCTGGCCACAGCAGAGAGCTGGCCTGGAAGAGGGGCAACCGGGACAGAATTCGGCGCCCTGACCGGGACTAGAACCCGGTGTGCCGCCGCCGCAAGGCGGAGGATTAGCCTATTGAGCCACAGCACCGGCCAGCACATGGAGTTTTTTGGACAACTACTTTTCTCCAATTGTTCAGCTCAAAAGCACTTGACATCATCCTGAGTCCACTCTGTTTCTCACTCTGCAGACTCCAGTGACTCTACCGCCGAATTATATCCAGTAACAGGACAAGGATTCCAATCTCTCACCATTACTAGTCAACATAATCCTTGAATTTTTTTATCAGATCCATTAGGCAAGAAAAAGCAATCAAAGGGATACAAATTGGGAAAGAGGAAGTCAAAACTATCCCTATTTGCAGATCACATGATTCTACACATAGGGGATCCAAAAGACTCCACTAAGACTATTGGAACTCATACAAAGTTTGCTAAAGTGGCAGGATTTAAAATCACTCTTTATTAGCTGCAGCACACTGATTCACTGAAAGGTTTTTGCTATGATTGCTTAACCAATACCCCACATATCAATATATGGCCATTGAGGTTGTATCAAAATCTTTAATAATGTTTCAGTAGCCACCATTGCTTTTTATTTGTTTGCTTACATTGTGGCACTTCAAAAAAGTTCATGGAAACAGACTTCAACGTTTATTTCTGCCAAGAATATCCTGAAATTAGTGCCTACAACTGTGCTTTATATCAATAGATAAAGTCCTAAAAGCGGAGTTGCTGGGCTGTTGTGTATAAGAGACATAAGTTGGGGTGATTGCCTTGAGTTTCCCTGTTGTCATGTCTGTACTCCTAACCTGCTTGTTCGGAAAGTCTCTCCTCCCTGTAGTTCTCCTCATGTTCTACAGGAATTTTCACAAGGCCCTCACGTGCCTGGCCACAGCAAAGGTTCTTGTCTCCATGTGGCTGATGATGGTCACTTGATAGACTCTACATGTGTAATAGGTGTTTAAGGCATCAATATAAGTCCCCAATACCCCAAAAGTTGCTTTCACTCTGATGCTGTACTTTGATGAATATATAAAGATTTATTTATTTATTTATTTGAAAGACAGAGTTAGAGAAGCAGAGGATTGGGGAGGGGGGTCTTTCATCTTCTGGCTCACTCCCCAAATGGCTGCAATGGCCAGAGTTGGGTGTATCTGAAGCCAGGAGCCAGGAGCTTCTCCTGGGTCTCCCACACAGGTGCAGGGGCCCAAGGACTTGAGCCATCTTGTACTGCTTCCCCAAGCCATAGCAGAGAGCTGGATCAGAAGTGGAGCAACGAGTACTCAAACTGGCACCCATATGAAATATCGACACTGTAGGTAGTGGCTATACCTGCTACACCACAGAGCCAGCCCCCTTGATGAGTTTTTTTTTTTTTTTTTTTCTGAAAAGCAACTGGACCCTGAAGACAATAGGCTCAGAGGAACTCAGGATCTTGATTCTGGTTGGATTTGTGCTGTTTTTCTGACCAAGAACAAAGGTGGAAAATCCACTTCACGTTTCTAGCAACATTCCGGTTTCATAGTAACACAAGTCACTGCTTTCAGAGAAGTGGACATTTGGAATTTTGTAATAAGCCACAGCCTGAATATTTCACATTTTATCTGCATGTTTGGGGACTGCGAGGACCCGCAGAACGTGATGTGATTGAGCACAGGCTGTGCCTAATGCAGCATTTGTAATTCACGGAAGGAGAAAAGCTGGTAACAGCAGAAACGTACATGTATTTGAGCCAGATAAAGCCCTCAGAGACTGTTGATGTTCATAATCTGTTATGTACTTATAATGATAAGGAAAAAAATATGGCTGGTGCTAATGTCCTTGCATTACATGGAACGTTCTTCAGGAGCTAAAGTGTTTCCTGGGGTAGAATTTTCTTTTCTTACTCTTCTCTAAAATGACTGTGGTGCACAGTGGACCCAAACCCAATCCTGTCTCAAATGGTCAGTGCTGCTCAGCAGAACAGACCTAGGTAAAGCAGCCCTGTAGAGTAAGTCATGTTCCTCCAACACAGCCGTTTCTTTTCTTTTTTTTCTTTTTAAAAAAAATTTTTGACAAGCAGAGTTAGAGAGAGAGAGACAGAGAGAAAGGTCTTCCTTCCATTGGTCCACCCCCAAATGGCCGCTATGGCTGGTGCGCTGCGCTGATCTGAAGCCAGGAGCCAGGTGCCTCTTCCTGGTCTCCCATGTGGGTGCAGGGCCCAAGCACTTGGACCATCCTCCAATGCCTTCCTGGGCCACAGCAGAGAGCTGGACTGGAAGAGGAGCAACCGGGACAGAATCCGGTGCCCCAACCGGGACTAGAACCCAGAGTGCTGGCACCGCAGGCGGAGGATTAGCCTAGTGAGCCGCGGTGCCGGCCCCAACACAGTCCTTTCTTAAAGCACCTGTGAGTGACCTTCAAAAAGTTTGTAGAAAATGGAATTAAAAATAAGTTTATCTTAGTGCACACAATTTTTAACAATCCATGAATAGCTTTCAGAGTATGCATTGTCTTTTTAAAATTTTTATTTATGCATTTTTTAAATTTATTTGCAAGGCAAAGAGAGAATCAACCTTCTTTCCACTGGCTTCCTCCTTCACAGCCAGTGGCAGCTAGACTAGGCCAGCCCAAAGCCAGGAGCCCAGAATTCCATCTAAGTCTCCTATGTGGGCGTCGAGGGCCCAACTCCTAGAGTTATCACCCGCTGCATCCCAGAGTACACACTTGCAGGAAGCTGGAATCAGGAGCCCAGTGGCTTAAGCTGCTGCCTGCAATGTCGGCATCCCATATGAGTACTGTTTAGAATCCAGCTCCCTGTTAATGTGCCTGGGTAGGCAGCATAAGATGATCTGGGTACTTGGAACCCTGTCGCCCACATGGGAGACCCAGATGGAGTTCCAGGATCCTGGCTATGGCTTGGCCCAGCCCCAGCCATTGCAGCCATTCAGGGAGTAAACTAGCAGATATCTAAAGCACCCTGGTTTTATTTAAAAAAAAAATATTTACTTGAGAAGCAGAGATAGACAAATACAGATCTTCCATCTGCTGGCTCTCGCCCCAAATGCCTGCAGAAGCAGAAGCTTGGCCAGGCCAAAACCTAGATTTGGGTACTGATTCTGGGTATTTGAACCATCACCTGATGCCCAGGGTACACATTAGCGGGAAACTGGAATAGGGAGCCAGAACTCCAATATAGCCACTCTGATATGATATATGGAAGTCTCACTCAGTGGCTTAACCATTGGGTCAAACGCTTGCTCCAGCTTAATTTTAATGTCCTTTGTTATTTTTTAAGATTATCATTTACATTTTTGAAAGAGTGACAGAGAGGGAAGGTGGGAGAGAGAGAGAGAAGGGGAGAGTAACAGAGGGGGAGAGAGAGAGAGAGAGGGAGAGAGAGAGATCTTCAATCTGCTAGTTCATTTTCCAAATGGCCACAACAGCCAGGGCTCGGCCAAGCCAAAGCCAGCAGCCTGGAACTCTATCTGGGTCTCCCAGATGCTTGAGCCATCTTCCACTGCTTTCCCAGGCACATTTGCAGGAAGCTGGATTGGAAGTGGAACAGCTGGGGCTCAAACCAACATTCATATTACCTGCCTGTGTCACAGGCAGTGACTTAACCCACTATGCCACAACACCAGCCCCAATGCCCTTGTTCTATAACTCTCTTCTGAGTTTCCCCTAAGGTGAGCAGAGGCCATAAGGACTGATTCTCCACTTTCCAGTTTCTACCAGCCTGTTGACCTCACTGCAGTTTGCCAAGTCTATGCTTCAGCTCTGGGTTGGGAAGCTCTGTGAACTGATTTCACAGTCAACAACGTATTCAGTCAGTAGATTATAATTACTGTGTCTGATATCACTGTCTCAATGTGAACATGCCTGGGAATGAAAAGGTGGCCATGATGCTGAGACTACTCTCTGTGACAGGGAACTATGTTGGGCAGGCAAAGATTTCCAGTGCTCAAAAACATCTCCAGGGAGAGGCAGGAAGCAGTGGGGGCAGGCAGGGGAAGCAAGAAGAAGGCCCTTCTGCAAGCTCCTCTCAGCCCAGGACTCCACCTGCCGTGCTATAAAATTGCCACCCAAAATCTTAATATTTGTACCAAATTAATTTTCTTGCTATGTATTATTATTCAACTTCATTTCTGTACCCCATCACCACCAAGGAAATATGATGTAACTATCATGAAATATGCTGAAACAGCTGAGTACATAATGCAGGCTAATCCTAAGCAGGGACAACCCTCTTTATCAAATCTCAGGTTTAATTATCCCTGAGAATCCATGGAACCTCAATCTCTAAGGATTTTTTTTAATATTTATTTATTTTATTTGAAAGGCAGAGTTATAGAGAAGAGTGAGGGAGAGACAGAGAGAGATCTTCCATCAAGGTCTTTCATGAGTGTGGCAGAGACCCAAGCGATTGAGCCTCCTTTGCTGCTTTCCCAGGTGTATTCCAGGAAGCTGGATCAGAAGCAGAGCAGCTGGGACTTGAACTGGTGCTCTGATATGGGATGCCAGCAATGCCACCAGCAATTTACCCCGTGTGCTACAACGCCTGTTCTAAATGTCTGTGTCTTAATCAGATTACAAAGTTATCAAGAGTAAAGACTACATCCAATAATTTTTTGTATTCTGCAATAGTGCCCAAAATAGTGCTATATACATGAAAGCTCATAAATAAATTTTGCTTACAAATTTTCTAGCTGCCTAGATTTAATATGTCAAAAGTGGTCTTTTTTAACCAAAAGATATGCTTCTCTCCCTCAATAAATCACCAATTAAATACCACTAGCATCCATTGTGTACAAATCATGTTCAAGACATTATACACAGTATTTTCATGTGATAATTAGTCCATCCCTGTGGGTAAGTACTGCTTCTGCTTTTGTAGAACAAGATAATGGAGGTTCACAGAGGTTAAATAATTTGCTCAAAGTCTCTCAGTTAATACATTATGACGCTTGAGGAGGCTTTTAATTTTCATATAGAATTCTCCCCACCAGACTAAGAAGTGGACATTGAGAGGTTACAAATGTGTTTGGACAGAAAGATGTGTTCAAAGCATTGACTTGTGATTCTTTTAGGAGAGACACGTAATCACCCCTTTATGGTGTAAGCCAGTTTTTATTGGCTCGCTACTTATCTTACCGCATGGTTACGATGCCTGCCTGGCCTGCAGGAGCAAGGGAGCTCCACACCGGATCATGCTGAACTTCCAGGAAAGAGAAGCCACGCATGCTCCATAGCCTTGCATCAGTGCTGTTTAAAAAATGCAGTATTTATGCACTTCTGAAAATCACATCAGAGTTGCACAATCTTGGCACAGTAACTGACTAAAGGAAAAGCAGAACAAAATGGAAAGCAGAAAAACCAACAACTGTATAGCATAAAAGTGGCATTCTGATCACTAGGTGAGGATCGACTGTTCACAAAAGGTGGTATCACAACTGGCTGTACATTTGGGGGGAAAATAAATTAGATTCTGCCTGACAGTTATATGCAAAAGTAAATTCTAAAAGAAAGACACAAAAATAAAATATTAAAGGATAGCTTAATAATTTGGGGGTGGTAAAGTATTTGTGAGCAGTCATGAAATAGTTCTGAAAAAAGCCTGAAATGTTTAGATAAAATTAGGAGCTTCCATTAGTTGGTAGGTATTGCAAATCTGAAACAACTGATAGCGTACACGGAGTGCTTGTGATACTGGTGAAATCAGAATAAGCTATGTGCAATGTGACAATGTCAGCTGTTGGTTTTAACGGCCAATGTTTTGGCACAGCAGGTTAAGCCACTACCTGTAACACCAGCATGCCGTATCAGACTGCCTATTGAGTTCCATCTATTCTGCTTCGGATTCAGCTCCCTGCTAATGTGCCTGAGAAGGCAGCAGGTGGTGGGCCCCTAACACGCAGGTGGGAGACCCAGATGGAATTCCTGCTTCCCGCCTTTGACCTGGCCCAATCTACGTGTTGAGGCCATTTGGGGATGAATCAGAGGACGGAAGATGTCTTCCTCTCTCCCTCTCTCTCTTTCTCTCTCCCTCTCTATTGTTCTGCCTTTAAAATAAATCAATAAATAAATCTGCTCTGCCCTTCAAATAAATCTTTAAAAGCAGAGGTTGGGCAAAGGTGCCCAGGGCCTCCCTATTTTTGAGGTACAACTTCCTCTTTATAATTATTTCAAATTAAAAATATGTTTGCATTGAACAAAGAGGAAAGATTGTGCTTAGTTGTGGATAGTTATATATGGATATCTGTAGAAGAAAAAAATAAATAAATAAACTGTGCAGCACTGTCACAGAAAACCTGTGCTCTGAAGTCCACAGAACTGGGATGCAGCCCTGGCTCCTGTCCTGCAGGGACTCGACCTTTATAAGACTCCATTTCTCATCCGTAAAACAGAGTGCATTACACCTGCCACACCTGGACTATAGTGAGAATCAAAGGAACTAATTCCCATAAAAGCACCCAGACTGGGGCCTGGCAAATGGTCACTATTTAATACACATTAATTATAATTAACATTGTTCTCAGTCATACCATACCATGTGTCAGTACCTTCATAATTTTGGGTGCTTGTCATAGTTCTAAACCTGGTACAAGTATTGAAAATGTTATGACAGCTATTTTCCACCTCGGTTTTGTATTAGAAAATAATTTATAAAATCTTTCCTAGGAAACCATCAAAGCTTTAATTTTCTTCACTCACTAGTTCTCAGCATGCTGGAAAGTGTATTAAGCTATTGGCTATTT